ATTAGAAAGATAATATTATTTTATGTATGAGCAAAGAGTCAAACAGATTTTTTAATGTTTTTTTAATTTATGTGAAAAGTGTCAAAATGACACTGATTTTGAAATATAAGAAGTACATACTATTTAACAGTGCCAGATTAATACACCAAATTTTTAAATTTGTAAGTCAACTCAATTTTGGTCAATTCCATTTATCAATTTAACAAAAGATTGAATTGATCAAAATTAAATTGATCCAACGAATTTTGAAAATTTGTGTATTAATTTGCATTACTACTAAATAGTCTATGTATGATTTAAAGAACTTAAATAACTAGTGTATTTTTTATTCTATAAATTAAATAGTTCATTTGTTAGCGTGTTTTGGTCTGAACCGGTACTAAACCCGATATGCCACTACAGTGCATCTGGAATCTCCGGTTCCGGTTTGGCTGATTTAAATGGCTGTTGTATTTGTTGTATTTCTTCGGATGATCGGAGATTGAGAGCCGATGTAGAAGACGAGAGATGGTGAAAATCTTCGGTTGATTCCATATTGTTGTTGTTGTCGTAGTAATATTGCTAACCGGATTAATATACTAATTTTCAAAATATGTTAGGTCAACTTAAGTTCGGTTAACTTCCTTTATCAATTTAACAAAAGTTTGAGTTGACAAAAATTAAGTTGATGCAATGAATTTTGAAAATTAGTGTATTAATCTGGTACTATTAAATAGTATGTGTGTGATTTAGAGAGTTCAAATAGGTAAGTGTATTTTTTTATTTAGAAATTAAATAGTTCATATATTTTTAAAGTTTTTTCTCTATTTTAAAAAAATATTTTGCTTATTTTTTTCCTCTACTTTCTCATATGTTTTGCATTTTTTTTCTTCTATTTTCTCATATATGCTGCTATGATCATGCTAGTGGAGGACCTGTGATACGCCGCGTATACGATCAACAACAGCAGCCCGATTATTCTGCAAATCCCGTTGGCGATCTACGAAAAAATCATATTATTAATACATTATTTTTTAAAATATATTTATTAATTAAACAATCTTGAAAGCTTACAAACATAAATTGGTCCAACGATAGCAACCAGTCATATGATGAGAAGCTCCAGAGTCAAGCAGAAAATCAACATAAATTGGCTTACCGGAAAGTTTTTCGGATGAAGATGCATTGTCAGGTTTAAGGAGGTTGACAATTGCGGACCATGCTTCCTTGCTTACTCCTGGAATGTTGGGAAAATCAGAGATTTGAGCATTGTTGGCGCGATATGAAGATCCACGTCCTCTGCTTCTACCACGAGGCGTGTTACTACAGCCATGACCACGGCCTGTTCCAGCATCGCTATACTTCTCAGTATACCATTCTAGAGTGCCATGTAGTTTAAAACAAGTATCAATATTGTGATTTGATCGCTCACAATGAGTATACGGTCCGAGATGGTTGATACGGGTAACAGCAGAAATTGTGTCAACACCAGTCTGAACGGCGAATCCAACCGCATCCACACGTTCTTCCTTGCTTCTCACGACTGTTAAATGTCACTCTTCTGCGACTATCTCAGAGTAGATGTTGTCGAGATTAAGGCCAGAGTCGCGACTTAAACGGCTAAGGATGTTAGTACGTGTAGTTCCAAATTTTGCTGCATCTAGTCCCATAAGAAATTGGTGAATTCTTTCATGGTCACACCGCTGAATCTGACGGAGCATCTGAGGACAGTTTGATCTGTCACAGCAGCAAGTTAGAAGAGGTTCATAATCATCCAGATCATCCCACATCACCTTTAGTTTGCCAAAGCAATCTGCTACAGCTTGGCCACTTTGACGGCAAGCAATAAGATCCGCTTTTAGTTGATGCACACGAGAAGCATTACCGACGGAGAAACGATTGCGAAGAATGTCTCACATGACTTTTGCATTATCAACTACAGAGATTGATTTCTGCACCTGCGGATCAAGACTTGCGTACAACCAGTCAACCAGCATAGAATTTGTTTGCAACCAGCGAGGATAGTCAATAGAATCAGACAGAGGCTTTTGGAGAGTGCCATCAATGAAGCCAAGTTTCTGCTTGGCCTGCAAGTTATTGCGAGTAAGTTTTGCCCATCGTTCGTAGTTTTCACCGTTTAACAGTATCGGAGTAAGCACATGGTGAGAGTGATCCGATGGATGGAGGTAGTAAGGAGATGCTGAGATTGCATCTCTTTCATGGGTAGATGAGGTAGATAAATCAGTTGGTTTAGTCATGATGTAGAGAGTAGTAGCTTAGAGAGATTGAAGAAAAAAAATTGTGTTTGATTTTAGGGTTTTGGCGGCTCTGATACCATACCAAATTTAAGAGAATTCATTAATCATATTAATATGAGATGTGAAAGTATATATAGATTACAGCGATTAGGTATTGTGCTAAGATTTTAAAGCTATATACGAATATTGCAGTATATACATAAACAGGAAAGTATCCTAATCGTAACAGCTCCATAAGATCGAGTTGGTAAATGATGCCAATATAGGTAAAAGTGGTATGGTCTCCACATTTTCCATCCGCAAAATATAAGAACAACTATTAAACATGCAATTTTCATAGCTCCTCCGATGATGTTTACAGCCAATAGCATAATACTATTTCGATTGATTTCAGGAATTCCATAAGCTAACCACATCAAGCAATTCAATAAAATTTTAAAGTTTGTGTATCAATCTGCCACTAGTAAATAATCTGTATATGATTTAAAAAACTCAAATAACTAATGTATTTTTATTCTAAAAATTAAATAGTTAAATATTTTTCCTTATTTTTACGATATATTTTCTTATTTTTTCTTCTACTTTTTCATATGTTTGCATTTTTTATAATATTTTTAAGAACAAAATTTATCTCAATATTATTAGATTTGTAGTTTTATTATATATTAGGTTTAATTACGAGAAAGAGGTTGTGTTTAACTCTTAACTCCCACACGAAGAATATGAATAAAGAAAAAGAGAATATATTTACTAGTTACTTTAACTTAGTTCTTAAAACACCGAGTTATCTTCAATCATTAAGGAATAAGAGATTGATTAAAGCATTATTAACTTCGATAGACCCTACGCTTATTAGTTCGTGGCAAAACACAAAATACAGTTATTAGTATTTGAGTTTAGTTTTTTTTTTTTTGACGACATTTGAGTTTAGTTATAGATTTGAAGATAAATCACATATATAAGTCGAGGTTCGTTTTCAACCGTTTAAGTAAATTTTCATGAGGACTTACGTGGGTTCCAAGTAGAGGTAGACATTGATCAAACTTCCTAGAGATACACAATAAATGAAATTTGTTAGTAGTAATTCCATGTAATAAGAAAATACAAAGTTAAATATATAAGTACAAATTACCTATTGCACCCAGAATTTTTTGGGCTGCGTATATTCCGGATACACTTCATGATTATTAAGATCGAGAAAGAGACATGTTTGACTATCGATAACAAGAAGATGAAAAGATGAAAAGAAAAAAGACTCACGATGAATATTACGAGAAAAAGATTGTGTTCAATTCTTAATAATATAGAGAGAAAGATAATATATTTTGCTTATTTTTTCTTCTACTTTCTCATGTGTTTTGCATATGTTTTAGTTAGTTTTTTTAAAAACAAAATTTATCTCAGTATTATTCGATTTGTAGTTTTATTATGAGAAAGAGACTGTGTTTAACTCTTAACTCCCATAGGATGATAGGAAGAATATATATAGAGAGAGAGAATATGTTTGCCAGTCACTCTAACTTAGTTCTTAAAAAAGCATGTTATCTTAAATCATTAGGAATAGGAGATTGAATAAAGCATTATTAACTTCGATAGACCCTACTTATTATTAACTTCTTACTTCTTAGACCCTACTTATTATTATTAACTGCAATCGGTTATGATTGATTAAAGCAAATATTAACTTGTAACTCTAGGTTAATCAATCTGCAGTTAATAATTGCTTTAATTTATACTATTCTGAAGAGCTATCGAGAGAGAGATAAGGTGGCATAGTAGTATAAATTGTGATTATTTATAAATTATAGGTCTCATCTAACTCTCTTATACACCACTCATATGGTTAATAAATTCATCACTTCATAATTTTTCTTAGAGTAGCAACCCTAAAAACAAAATAATAGACACAAAAGACGAATACACACAGCAACTGTAAGTATTTGGTATAAACTGTATTTAGAGAAGTAATTATTGTAAATAAGTTGGGAAGATTTTTATTTAGTTTTGTAAATAAAACATAAGTGAGGATTATTTTTGACTTGTTGACTAATTATTAATTAAACTATTGATAAAGAAATTAAATATATATTTGGGCTGGTGAGGCACACACTCAGCCTTCGAATAATAGATGATTAATCGCAAATCGTTGTAGTAGGAAACACAATATACGATTGACCGACTTTTTAATAAAGAAATCATATTGTATTTGATTTTGACAACTCAGCGTAATGGAGAAAACAGAGGATACATATGGTATCATGCCATAGGTGTGGCCAGAGCCAAAGGTATTGGAATTACATTCCAAAGGTAAGACAGCAGTTAAACTCCATCTCCAAGTTGTAAAAAAAAAGCAGTAACTATATTAAAATCTAGATACATGGGAAACAAATTGTGTATACCCTATGAGCACTAAAACCCACACTCAAATATTTGTAGAATGATTAACTAGATTAAAGAAAAGATGGGTAAGAATCTCTTTATAAGCCGACTAATATATGATTAAGAAAGATAAAATAGATTTATATTGATTTGAATGAGTATAAGGTAAGGTTACAAGTGTTTACGAGCAAAATAACTCGCAGCAAAATGTAGAGAATAATCTATTAGTTTCCTAGGGCCTTATTATGGGCCGGATCTAGTGTTAAATCCAGCTCTAACATACGCGATGAATATTAACATCACTCTGCTTGAAATATTAAAGTTAAAAACTCTTATCCCTACCGGGGAACAGTTAAAACATCGCTACCAAACATCTCTTCCGAGATGGCGAAGCCTTATTCTTCGTCTGGCCGAACAAACCTCGCTTCATGTGCCGTCGCCACCATCTTCATCGTCTTCGTTATCATCGCCGCCGTTACCGTTTACCTCACCGTGTTCAGACCTAGAGATCCGGAGATCTCCGTCACTAACGTCAAGGTCCCGTCGTTCTCCGTCGCTAATAGCTCCGTCAGCTTCACCTTCTCCCAATTCTCCGCCGTAAGAAACCCGAACCGCGCAGCTTTCTCTCACTACAACAACAAAATCCAGCTCTTCTACTACGGGAACCGGATCGGTTTCATTTTCATACCAGCTGGTGAGATCGAATCGGGTCGAACCAAGCGTATGTCGGCTACTTTCTCTGTGCAGTCGTTTCCTCTCGCGCCTTCTGCCTCTCGAATCTCCGCCGTCGATTTCGGAGCCGGGTTAGCGGAAGTGGATAAGCGGGGCGGGTCGACAGTGGAAATAGAGTCGAAGCTGGAGATGGCGGGTCGGGTTCGGGTTCTTGGTCTGTTCACACACGGAATCGCAGGAAAATCAAATTGCAGGATCGCGATTTCCACGATTGATGGGTCGATCGTAGCCGTCCGTTGTTGATACAAACAAACAAAAATGTAAAAAAGTGTTGTTTTTCGAAACGCATGTAAAAACCTCTCTTGGGTTCTTCTTCTCAATCCTTAAGAGTTAGAAAATTTGCAAATATAAATATACAAAGATTTTGTGCTTACCATTACATGAGGGACTGATATAATGTATAATGTACTTCCAGAATTGACTACATTGGATCAAATTTCAGAAATAATGAGGATAATACAAACTGCAACAGAACAGCAGTTGAAATGTATGAACTGAAGATTTAAATATCAAAGAGTTGCTATGATAAATTATTAGTACACGGATTTTTCCACTATTCCCTCTAAAATCTGGGTTCTTATCAGCATTTTTCATGTGTTTATAAGAATAATTAATCCAAAAGGAAAAATAAAGAGTTATGAAGAGCCGTTGGAGGAAGAGTCGTAGCCGTAAGGATTATTGCTTGCCCAATTCCACTGATCCTTACACATCTCTTCAACTCCATAATTAGCCCTGCATTCATACCATACCAAACAAATAAGTTCCCAAATGAATATACTATGATTAAACTAAAAGTTAAAACCCATTTCAATATCTTTAGTATATGGTATTTGAGGTATTCCAAGTTCTAATTCCTCTATTATGTTGACAAAAGAAAAAAGAAATGAACTTACTTCCAATTTAGTTCGCGTTCTGCTTTTTCCGTTGACGCGTAAACAACTTCAGCGTCTCCAGGACGTCTTCCGGCCATCACCAACGGGATTTTCTAATCAAAAAATTTCAAATTAATAATCCAAAAATTGGATATTAAAGGCCAATAATAGCTCTTTTGCTAATAAACAAACAAATTTAATGTTTTACCTTTCCGGATGCCTTTTCAAAGGCAGCAACCATTTCTAGCACCGATGTTCCATTGCCCGTTCCAAGATTATAAACCTCACAACCTGATCATTTTCCCAAGAATTCAGCTTTGGATCCAATGGAGAAACCTCAAAAAAAAAGTTAATAAAGATGACACATACTGATTTTGAGATCATCTAGCTTGCGCAGAGCAGCTATATGTCCATCTGCTAAATCAATGACGTGAATGTAATCTCTAACCTGAAAAAGAAAAATGTGTTAAAGATAATCACAGTTTAATAGTTTCTTTGTCTTTGAGACATCGTAAGACATTACATACATACCCCTGTACCATCCTTTGTCTTGTAGTCGGTTCCAAAGACCGTGAGGTGAGGTCTGCGTCCAACTGCGACTTGTTGCACATAAGGCATGAGATTATTGGGAACTCCAAGAGGATCTTCACCAATGTAACCACTAGGATGTGCACCAACAGGGTTGAAGTATCTAAGCAGTATGATCTTCCACTCAGGGTCAGACCGATGTACATCCCGGCAAATCTCTTCGATGAAAAGCTTACATTTGCAACAACAAACCACAATAATCTCAGTCACTATCATGATAAGGTGGGTTTTTTGGTAAACACTCAGGCTAAAATTACTACCTTGGTACGGCCATATGGGTTAGTTGCAGAAATTGGGGACTCCTCTGTGCAAGGAACCTCTTTAGGCCAGCCATATACAGTAGCTGATGATGAAAACACAAGCTGGAAAAAAGAAAAAAACAGAGTTGTTAAAAGCCAATCATGAGATCAAACCAAGACAAAAAAACTCAAAAGAGGAAAAGAATCTATATATTAAGAAAAGGAATCAATGTGGTGGCACAATTGGCAAAAAATGGTGATGAGGAGGAATATTTACATTTGTGCAGCCGTGTTGAGCCATAACCTCCAAAAGCGTAATAGTCCCAACAAGGTTATTATTATAATACAGCAAAGGCTTCTCCACACTCTCACCTACTGCTTTAAGTCCAGCAAAGTGTATCACTGCATCAAACCTGTAATAATGATAATTCAAACCAATTATATGAAACCACAGTCTAATCATTTCTTGTCTTTGGGAGTAATAAAAAGAAATTGTTTTTTATTTTCAATCATCGTACTTTGTTTCTGAGAAAATCTTCTCAAGCGCAAGCCTGTCTCGAAGATCCACCTGCAGGTAAGAAAAGAAAGAAAAAAAAAAACTTATAAGAAACTAAAATGATCCAAGAGATTCTGATTTCAGAAAATGGCAGTCACAAATTTAATATTTTAGAAGCATGATAAAATTCTGATTCGACTTCTTTTGAAGAACATCCCAATTCGAGAGACAGATCAACTTTGTCAATTATATAAATATATAGCACTTTGGGATAATATTAAAATACTCTTTCACATGGCATTGATGCTTTAATCTGAATTTTATAAAACTGGGATTAGCCACATGGTGTACACAACAAAACTAAACCAGAACACACCATCATCGAAAAATGACCTGTTCTCACGAGAATTTGATCAAAACCAATGAAAAAAAGAGGAATTCGCGTTCGTCGTTCATCAAATTAATCAATAGTATAATTCATAGATAGACTGAAAATTCCAATTTCGCAGAAAATCGAAAACTATTCGAACACGATAATACGAAACTCTTATTGCAAACAAATTCTTCAAGCACACGTTTCCTAAAACCTAACAGGTAAAATTCGCCGAGAAATTCATCAATTCCACGGAGAGAGAGGGGAGGAAAAAAAACCTGGTGGAAGGAGAGACGGCCTCCGTTTTCGCCGGCGAGTTTCTTCACGCGCTGGAGAGAAACAGCGGAGGAATTGTCGAGATTATCAACAACTACGGCGGAGTAACCACCGGTAAGAAGTTGAAGGACAGTATGACTTCCGATGTAGCCAGCGCCGCCGGTGACCAGAATGTTCTTCGACATCGTTAACGGAGATAGAGAAGGAAAATTTCGCAGAGAGAGAGTTTATATAATTCAAAATTCGTAAGAGCGTTTGTTTTGGGATCGAGCAAAAGGGGTTTTATAGAGGCGGTGAGGGGAATTTTGACTGTATAATTTACTACGTTTCTACGTTTCTAAAGAGAAAGAAAGTGAAGGAGGAGAGAAAGTGTGCCATGTGGCAGCATTTGGTATGGTGCGAATATACCGGATTGCAAAGAATTGTCGGAAGTACCCTTTTAAGTTTTCTTTTATGGATGGAATATGTAAATATCGTAAGTTGTTATTTCTTTGGTAATAAATGTAAGAGAAATGTGTAATTTAGTACTAGTTTCAATTGTGGAAGATTTACCTAACAAATGGATATAACTATTTCTGTTTTTTTTTTTTTCTCACAATAAGAATGCTCATAGATTATCCGAATCTTTGCTTTCCAACAAAGATAATCCATAAATTACCTTATATTCATTTTCGGTTTAGTTGATTAATTATTGTGGTTGTTTTGCTTTCATGGACATCCCTGGAAAGTATTAAAAATAATTTATCCAGAAAATTCGGGGTCACGAGATTTGAGAATTAGTTGAGTATGTTAAGCATTCCAGGATTGTTTGTACTTTAGGTATAATTTAAGTTAAATTAAATGTCTACTTTAATGCTATATGAATTTAGGTTTCTCTTACATAGTTCGAAAAGAAGTGGCAACATTACTAGTGGATGCATTTTTGCAAGAATTGAATTGAGCACATTGGATAATTAATAAGCAAATGTAAATCAGATTATTAACTTTTTTTTATATATATTTATCATATAGATCGGTGGCACCGTCGATAATCAACTTCTCCAAGGACTTTTCGTGACTCGAGTCTCCCACGAAAAGTATAAGATTTTTCTTTAACGCATTTTCACTGTTTTCAGTTATAGTTTCCCTACATTTCTCGTGAATAATACTTCAAGAAATTAACTCATAGGTGATGCAACCGTAATTTAGAGTACTATAGTATTAAGGTGAACGAGTCCATATCTGACGTGAACCCTATCGTTCCTGGCTTTGAATGAACATTTTGAGGATAAGTCTGAGATTTTTCTTCTGGTCCAATAAAGGTTAGTCTTGATTTGAATTTTTGATATAAGGATAAAATCAAGCTACCGACAATAACCTTAACAGAGCAGTCTTTTGGTTTGTGTGTGTGTGGATCACTTCCGCAGCTCCGCTTGTCAATTTGCGTGACGTTCCAAATTAAACAACTTCTAAAAACAAAAATATATATTAAGGCTTAAAAGTCAAGAACAAAACTAGTGACTCAATAGCCGATTAGACTGTCAATATGCTTCAATGAATTGTTAATCCATTGAATAGTTTTTCGATTTTCTTACACCGGTTTTGTGTCAAATTCTTCATTTACATGTGTCAATTTTCATTTGGTTATAGTAAAGCAAAGGTTATTAACGTGGATTCACAAGAAAAAAACTACGATTTTATATTAGATGATCACGAAGTTTCTATGATATTATGTTGGTGTTCTGAAGCAGTCCTTATAACCAAAGTGTACAATATGAAAAGGAAGTGTATGTTATATTAATTTTGGGTCACCATTAGAAAACGATGTACAAACGACAAGGAAGATAGCTTACAGATATTGATCAAAATCTGTAGAATAAAGTCGATAAGGTCAAACTAAAAACAAAAGAGCAGTTTGGAGTCTTTGGACCATTAAATGATCGTGAACATAAATTCAAAAGATAATTATGAATTATCTATCGGATGGAGTTAGGTCGAAGTCTTTAGCCGCTTCTCGATGGTTACTTAGGGCCCGGGACCAGAGTATATTTATATATTTAAAAGTGTAATTAACACAATGAAACGTCAATCTTTTTGATTGGTTCAGTTTTTGGAAAGGCAATATTTACTTAAACTATATTTGCCTTAAGTAATTACATCTTCAAAAGAAAGAAAAGTGGAAATGGAAAGAGAGAAAAGTTCCCAATTTCTTTCGCCTCAAGGAACGGAAAATGCCAAAAAAAAAAAAAAGCTGATTACAAAATTGGAGGTGCGGGGAATCGAACCCCGTGCCTCTCGCATGCGAAGCGAGCGCTCTACCATATGAGCTACACCCCCAATGTTGAAAGTTGATATGCTAAATAATTAGTAATGACAGTTTTAGTGAAAGCTTAGAAGCAGAGTCTTAGTTTAGCGTTTAAGCGTTTCTCAGATTTACTTTGCTTTTCCCTGCGAGGCCAATCCTGCATTAGACAGAAATGCAAATGCTACTAGCCGCAATGAAACACACCAAATGAAAATCCAAGATTCAAGCTATCTTTATTACTTTCTTGGATGCAACTTGAAGATATACGTAGTAGTGTAGTACTAGTAAGCTGAGTCATAGATTCACAAAAAAATTGCATTACTTAGTGCTAAACAAGGATCTAAAACCAAAAGCCAATATCTATAATGGATCTTTCATAAAAGCTTTGTGGTTTCTCTCAGTACGTAAATCTTCTGGCTCTAGCCCATGGTGGCATCCTTGGAACTTGCACTCCAACGCCATAGTTGTTGTTGTTGTTACTCTTTCTCTGCTCTATTATGCTTGCAAACCGAGAGTCCAGTGTCTTCATCTTTTTTCCTCCCTTTTCTACTTTCTGATCTACCTCATGCCTCTGCGGATTAAGTTCCATTGTTAGTTAACCCAACTCACTCAGTATAAAGCTCTTGGATATTGATATCAACGAGTTAATCATATCATAACACACCAGATATACTTTTGCCTGATCAAATCCAAACAAACAAACACAGATCCTAAACCCACCAAATTTCCACTGTGGTTCTGATTAGAGGCAGTTATAGTTATGGATGCAGTAGGTTAAAAAAAGGCACTTCTGTAAATCTATCTCAGGGCCCCATAAACATATCAACAAGGAAACATGATCCCGGAAGAGTCCCTCAGACTTAGGTCTGTAGAATTTACCTTTGCGATGAAGCTAGTGTGTACAGATCTATTCTGGACTTGTGGAGCAATAAGCCTGCACAAACAGAGGAAAAAAAAACAGAATTGTTGAAGAACCGAGAAGCATAGACAACCTTATAGAACAACAGAGAGTTGACACAACAGCCGGTAACTGGCACCAACAGATAAAACGGTCTGATACCGAGTTGTAAACAATAAGAGCCATAACTTCTTACTACCATAGAAGGAACTAAGGCGTAATCCAAGCAACAAAAGGATGGCAAATCGCCATTTCTTATAAGCAATGCAAAACACTTCACTTCCCCCGAGTCCTAGAGTCCCCCGAGACTGACACAACTACAATTTCGCAATAACTACACAAAAAGGGCAGCTCTTGAGATATTTCCAGGTCGACCCACCAAGAGATGGCCTTTTACCCGACAAAACAACTTATCAAGGACTAAGAGCATAAAGCTCGAGAGATGACCGAGGTGCAAACCAAAATATATATTGATGATGATCTGGTAGTCTCAATCTTCATAGCTTTCCCAGTAACTGACATCTACCAACTCAATGTCACAACCCCAGAGAGCTAAAGCTATAATCTTCAGGACGCAGCAAGAAGATGAACATAACACCTAGGAGACTGATATGAACAGAAATGTGTTTCATGAATCCACTGAGGTCATATGAAAGGCCAAGATAGATATCCCAGTATCAGTATCGGATTGCTCAGCTTCTTAATTTGATAATAAACACAAACTTCAAGCAAAGTTAATGCTCAACCTAGCTACATCCTAACCACTGAAGTCATATCAAAGGCCAACCCAGTCTTGAGACAAACACTCTATCCACTCATCTGCTCAAACTTAAGGTTCTTGAATCCTTTAATGTTTACTGACTCCTCCAAGCACACATCATAAACTCATCTACACAGATTTGGATCATTATACTGAAACACGCTTATGCAGTCATCAAACTGATGACCAACTAGGAACTAGCAACCAGGAAAGGAGCTTTATACTTTCCACAGAAACACCTTCTGGTGAGGAAGGAACTTAGAATAGAGGCTTCTTGAATCAGAAACAATCGAAGAGATTATAAAGACTCCAGATTAACAAACATGTCAGAGAATCATCCAGCATTCTAGACCTTGGCTGATTGACATTAGTCATCCTTCCCGCATTGAAAGCTCTACCATGGACTCTGAGTGGAGGAGCAGTAGTGGCGGCTTTACGAGCAATGTTTGTCGTAGCAGGGAACTGATTCCCATGGAAACTAGACCTTCTCTTTGCAACAGCACCCTGAAAATGATGAGATAGGTTACAAGACAGCTCCAAACAAAGTAACACCAAGGTCCAAAGTGATAAGACAAAGCAGCTAAGAAAACAGATCAGCTGAGAGCACTGCAAAAAGCTAACCTGTCTAACTGTAGAAAGTGAGCTCGCATAATGCCGCACTTTAGAGGTATTACTCCTCGCAGCTCCATTGAAGTTTTGATTTTTGTTCTGCGCCGAATAACGAAATTATATATTCCGGGTAAATGACATTAGAGTCTCGTAAAGACAAAGATTACATGTAAGCTTTGACCTCTATGAAGGTCTTTACCTTTCCTCTCCTTGGTTTTTTGCCCTTGTCCACTTTGGCATTTCTCTTTGACAGCTTGATGATATCATCTAAGCCAAGAGAATAAAGATGTAATCATGAGCAAATGAAACGATAAAAGGAATAAATAACGGGAAACGAAGAAAGCTACGGTTGTGCTAACATAAACACAAATCTACCTAAAGCCATGGCGACTTTCTTTTCGGCTTGAGCAATGGTCTCAGCCACCACAAGTGGAATCTCAGTCTCCATCTGTAGTTCTGCGCAAACAGAGTAAAATTCATTCACCGAAAATACAAATCTAATACGGTACAATAAAAAATGCACAAATCAAGCAAAACGCCTTTACAATTGTTAAACTGAATATATATGGAGAATGAAGTTCAGCGAAGATACGAACCCTAATTTACACTTGGAATAAAAAAAAATTACTCCGTAAACACAGCGACTGAGTGATAAATCACAATAAGACTTAGATAAACCGAATCCGTGAGAAGCAAGTAACGCTAATTTTTACAATTCGACTGAGAAAGACTACGCCTACGATTACGATTCAAACAAACAGAACCGAAATTCTCGAGCCTCGTGAAGAACGAAGCAAAACCGTAAAATGATGAAGCTTTACCGATTATGAAGTGAAAAAACTACTACGAAGGGAAGCGACGAGAGAAGACGACGGAAAGATCGAAGCTCAAGAGTTTTTTTCTGAACAGACGGTGAGTCGATGACCTGGAGAATACCTGCGTCGACTCGTCACCTCTCTGAGATTTATACGAGTTTTTTTTTTATCTATGGGGTCGGCGGATTTAAAACGATTTAATTAAAACAACCGCCTTGCTAATCGGATTTCAAGTCCGTATTATGCGTCTCACCGTATTAATTAACGGGTTTCATCGATTCACTGATTGTCTACGTGGCATGATATCATTGGGTATATTTAACATAACAGATTATCAGAGAGAGTAGCAAACTCTTTTTTACACGTAAAACGGTAATTATTGTTTTTTTTCTGTAACATCATTTTATTGTTTATAAGACATAGGAAAATTAAAAAAAAAATGATTTCAGATTGTTTTTGCTTTTTTGATCTAACGGCTGAAGAAAAGAGAGAAACAGGGTTAGTTCAGTTCTGGCCGTAGATCCACTTCTCAGCATTGTTAGTGTAAGAAACGAGTTCTTCAGGCTTAAACCACAGACTAATCTCGTCTTTAGCTGTCTCTGGTCCGTCACTTCCATGGATAATGTTCCTGCAAATTTCTCCAAACAAACAAATTCAAAACCAAATCTCTCGGAAACGGACCAAACATATTAGAACAAAAGAAAATAGCCAATATGTATGTACACCTTCCAACAACAACCGCAAGATCGCCTCGGATAGTTCCAGGTTCAGAGTTCTGAGGATCAGTGGCTCCAATCAGTTTACGTCCGTATCTAATCACTCCTTCACCTTCCCAAACCTTACACCAAGTTCCAAAATTTGGTTTTGGATGAGAAACTAAACCAAACCGGTTTATGATTTCAAAGTTGAACCAAGAGTTGTTCTTTAGTGTATATTACCATGGCAATAACAGGGCCTGAGCTAAGGAAGTTAGACAAGCCGTTGAAGAAAGGTCTTTCTTTCAGAGCATGGTAATGCTTCTGAGCGAAACCTTTTGAAGGAACCATGATTTTGATACCAACAAGCTTAAACCCTTTGCGTTCGAACCGGGAAATGATTTCTGATATCTGATCAGAGCAGTAAGATTTATTCAGAATATCTTGAGCATTTAATAACACTTTAGACCAGCAAGGAATAATAAGCAATGAACTCAGGCCTATCTATTACCAGTCCTCGCTGAACTCCATCAGGTTTGATAGCGATGAAAGTGCGTTCCATCTGATTGAAACAGAGGAATGGAATTAAAACAAGAAACCATGGACCCAAGAGAGAGTTATAGGTATAGATATATTACTTCAGCAGCAAGTACTTCCTGATCTTGGAGCATGAAGGCTAATAAGAGAACCATTAATTAAAACAAGGCTCATCAGTCTTGTAAGTCTTGCACGTATGGTTCAGTAGCAAACATTGAAAATAGACATCAATTTGGAGTCAAATATTGACAAGGCCTACTTATTATTTAACGTTAACTGTGTTATGAAAGTAAAGATTTGAGTATTATGTCTTATATCGTATATATTTATAAACAGTAATATGTAAAAACCTGCGGCAGGAAGAGCGAGGAGTCGGGTAAGCCAATTCTTAGAGGCGAAGGCAGAACCGGATTTGCCAAAGTTGGATGCATACAGAGGGACTTTTCCAGACGCATAAACCACTGTTGCTGCACCAATGGCTCTGCCTTCTGCAAAAAAAAAAAAAAAAAAAAAATCAAGTTGTCCTTAAAATGTTAACAAAATATGTTTTAGTCCACTTGGGAACAATAAGCAAGAAAATGTAAATTCATAAAACATTGAGGCATCTAATACATATATACCACCAAAAAAATATATGTAGAAAGTTTACGTACCGGAGAAGAAACGAGTATTCTTAGATGAAGAAAGAAGAGACGTAGCTGCTCTAGAAGCAGATCTGCAGATTTGTGAGCTCATCTTTCTTATACAATGCGAGAGAACTGAGAAGAGTGTGGTATAAGAAAGAAACAGGGACCTATCGAGAAATGTGAACCTGTTGGAAGATTATATAACAGCGGGTTCGATCGAGTTGGGTCGGGTCGAAGGTCCGGGTTGAGTCGGAGCAGGATTCATTGCCATTGGAACTGGATTTATTCCCTCTCATTTTTTCAAGTCTTCTTTGTTTCCTATTCAAGAAACGAATGTATTCCAAAGTCTTTTGCTATTACAAATTCTAATAGTAATTCAACAAATTTAAATATTATCAATGATATTTCTTCATATCTACAATGTATTAACATCAATTTATAAATAAAAAAAGCTGCAGTAGAATTTTATAAAACCAAAAAAAAAAATCTAAAAAATCAATCTTTTATAAACAAATGGAGAATAAAATCACCACAAAACGTGTTAGAAAGAAGTGAATAACCCACACAAAACTCCAAAAGAAACATCAAAGGCAGAAAATGCAAAATCTGAGAGTGTCATTAAGCATGTGAATTGCGTGATGTAACCATTCTCTCCAGAGTTTTTGTCACGAGAACACGATGTCGTTGCCCAAACCCACAAGATTGGACGCTTTTTCTCCTACTTCCCTTAAGAGTTAGGACAAAGACGAAGGATCAGAAGTTCTTCTGCCAAAATCTATTTCACCTACTAACTCATAGGTCATAACGAAGCAAAATATTAATGTTGTCATCACCAGTTCAGTAAAAGAACTTTTCAACAACGTGAATTCTACTACATCTTAAAAGAAGCAAATTTATATACATAGAAATGAAAACTATACAGAGCAGTGAACAATCTTCTCAATCTATTGCGACGCTTTCGCTTGATCCATTTGGTAATCTTTCTTCTGGTTCCGACTTGCAATCATGGCGCAGTACGGACAACCAAGAATCCACCTGAAATCAGACAAACCCGTTTAAAACGTTGCAGGGATCTCTCAGCAACGAATAATAATGTATGTCAAGATGAATATTCTATTTGGTTAACCTGTGTTTTAGAAGTGCTTGAGCACTCAAACCTAAGACCTTGACGGGTTAAGATGTAAAAGCAATGATGGATTTCATCGAATTCTCTCGTGTAGCTTGGCAACGAACCAACTTCGACAATATCCGCTAGCAACGTCGAATCTTGAGGGCTCAAGTCTGCAACAGGGAGAGTTTTAAAGAGACATTACAACAGGAATTATATACATTTTTTAGACTAGATCGTTAAAAAGTGAAACTTGAAAATACCTGTTGATAATAAATAGAAGAAGAGACAAGCTCCTTGAAGAACAACAAACCGAGGAAGCCAGTCATCTACTTCCGCATCGTCTAACGGAGGTGGTTCACCGGGAAGAGCTGCCCAACGCTGAAGTTAAAAAACCAAAAAAAGATTAGCAAAACTGTAAAAGAGAATATATTGATGTGAGCCTCCTCATGGACCAAATGGAGTAAGAGCCTACACTTCGGATAAACAAATAGCCAGATAAACGAGCAGAGCGCAAGACTTCATCCACATGTTCCAACCTGACAAAGAAGAAATGAGATATGCAGGTTTTTGATCTTGAGTATGGAACAATTTTGAGCAATATCATATGACTTACTGAGCTTTGAGGTAAGCTTCTCTCTCTTCCAAATCAGAAAGTTCTGATCTGAGTGATTCTAACTCTGCTGCTGATAGCTCTACCTGCCAATGGATGATCAAGAGAGAAAACTCTCAAAACTTCAAATGCAACGAATCAAAACACACAAAGAAGAAAGGTGTGAGAATGGGAACCTTCTCTTGACCATCTGAAACCCATGGAAGACGGCGAAGAGTGAACAGATTCAACATTAGAGCTGCTCTTTTCAGGTTTCTTCGAGTCCGGGACTGGCTTTGAAACCTATTCTACACAAAATCACCCAAAATACCACTGATGTCAGCTCAAAGTTTCCTCCTTTTCTAGCATATTTATGAGCTAACAAGTCGTCACCTCAAAGAAATGTCGTTTTTTGACTGCGAAGATGATGAGGAAGAATCGTCTTTTGGCTGCGAAGATGATAGAGAATTGTCTTGAGCAGCTTCAGCTTCTGTGGTGGGCGCAGGAACACTAAAGTGATCAGGTAATATATTCAGTTTCCTAGGAGTACCATCACCCATGAGAATCTGAACTTTGGTTTTTAAGAAGATTCCAGAACCCTCCACGAGAGATTGAATTAAGCTTAGCAAGAGATCCTGCATTCAAACGAAGAAGAGAATCATTGTTTCAAAAAGATTCTGATATGAAGCAAACTCATGTATGCCATGAACACTTAAATCTCTCTAAATGATCTGTCTCAGTCTCTGTCTTTTGCTTTTCATTATCATAGATCTAATCTTAGAAGTATCATCACGAGAAAGAAAAAAATATCAACTGAAAGAATTATAATTTTTTCACTGAGGATCAAACATTCTACTCTTTAAACACCAAATTTAATAACCCAAACTAACTTCGCCGGAAAAAGAAGCAAGCGAACCGGTGAAAAAACCAAATTAAGAAGAACTCTTAATTCCTAGCTCTGGAGTTTATATAAGCTCAAATAAAAATCTACAGCATCGAATCTTCTGGAAATAGGCGAATAAAGCCACACAAATAAATCGAAGCCCTAACCAAATAACCAAAAAACCTTGAGCAAAAAATAGAATCTCGGAAATTGGGATTGAATGATGAGAGAACCTTCGGCGAATTTCAAAATTCGGCAAAACAGAAGTATCGATAACTTACCTGATCAAAGGAGAGGTTGAAGATGAAGTTTTAACCCAGAAGAAAAAAAGGGGAAACACGAAACTGTGATTTATGTTCTTAATGGGAAAGTGTTTTGACCCAATTGGTATTTGTTTGGATGCTCTCTCTCTGCCTCAGCAAGAAATTGGGTTTAGGCAATGAGACACTTCAAATTTTGTTTGAAAATACACTTTTACCCTTAGGTTGCATTGGCCAGCTCTACACACATGGGCATTGTTGCAGTTTCTACACTAGTTTATTAACGAAGTTATCTGAGATTACTCCTTCCGATGATTTAGGTTAATTAAACATCTCTTAAACTTTATTTAATCTTATGCTTTTACACATCTTAAGAAATGATATCTAATTTTATTTAATCTTATGCCAACTAAGTATTTGGTGATGCCGATGAGTAGTGTTAAGGACAGCCTAAGACAAAAGTGGGTTTGTAATGATGATTTGGGAGTATGGGATGCCAATTATTAATGTCGTTGACCAAATGCTTTATTATCTTGTTCTTGCAGTCTTTTCTTAATTAAACAAACAAAATATATACACGTTAGCAATATGTTTGATAAAGGCCTAAAATATGTCAAGGATGATGTTAAGACTAGGTCCGTTTAAACTTATGACAAAGCCCAAATTCCACTACTCTTCCTCAATTCACTATGCGACACAAACCATCCGGTTACGCATAAACCGGATCAGGTCCAACGAATGGAAAATAGATAGAACTCATCTAACTGAAATCATGATATGTGGTCACTATAACAAAGCCGATCACGCTTCTTCTTTCTTCCTTCTTCCTCGTATCTTTACTTAGTCACCTCTAAACTAAACTATTTCTTATGGCGACTTCTTCAATCACTATACCAACCATTCGATCTCCGATCCGGAGAACGAAGTTTCTCGGCCAAACCCATCTGTTTTCAACCGCAAACCGATCTACTTTCCCGCCTCCGAAACAGCAATTAAACGCTCATCAAGTAAAGGCGATGGCTAAATTCAATCTATGGGAAGTGATGGGAGGAAGAGGGTTATGCAACGGAGAGAAAGGTATCGAAAAGGAGCTCAAGAGGAACATAGAGGAAAAGCAAGAGACACCAAAAGCAGAGAACGAGACGGAGAAAGCGAACGACGACAATAACTTGTCGTTTCAAGTACCCGAAGGCGGTTTCGACAAAGAGATGATGGGTCTCACCGGAGGATTCCCCGGCGGCGAAAAGGGATTGCAAACGTTCATCGAACAAAACCCACCTCCACCACCACAGCCACCTGCGAAACGAGGAACCGATGCATCCGCGGTTGCTGCCGAGAAGAAGCCGAAAGCGAAAGCGCCCGAGCTGCCGCTTCTCATGCCGGGGATGATCGCTATAGTAAAGAACCGGAACAGTCCGTATCACATGTACTGTGGGATCGTGCAGAGGATCACCGATGGCAAAGCAGGTGTCTTGTTCGAAGGAGGAAACTGGGACCGGCTCATTACTTTCAGGCTTGAAGAGCTTGAACGAAGAGAAAAAGGCCCACCGGGTAAGAATCCAAAGTCTTGTGTTCTTGAGCCTCTTATCGAACAGTTGCAGAAGGAAGCATCGCCATAAAATCCAACTTTCTCTCTACTCTTTGCTCTCCTGTGAATGTATATGTGTAACGTACCTTCCCGTTTAGGCTACAAGGTTTCTGACTGGTTCTGAAAAGAGCTTCATCTTGTGATATAAAAATAATAAACGATGAATTCTCCAAAACCATAAAGCATTAATAAGGGATTAGAAAACACTCAGTCAATGGTGAATCAGTATAGAAGATAAATCAGTATATAAGTAAAAAGCTTTTAAGACCGCAATGGAGTTGTTTTATAAATTGCGTCATTGGACATCTGTTATCTGTAGAAACCAACCAAGTCTTGACTCTTAAGTATAGTCTGTGAATGGTGGAGAAGAGAAGAGATCCACCATTTTTCGTTAACAAATCATGTCGAGTGATCAGATGCAGCCACCCAACTGTGAAGATTATTCAGAAAACGATAAGAAGTTAGAAACGGAACATACCATTATCACATAATGAAGGATTTCTGTTTTTGGTTCTATAAAATTTGGTAGTGAGTCAGGCCATTATAAAGTTAGGATAACCTTAAAAAAGAAGTGTTTATCTTAAGCAGCAAAACTCAAGAGAAGAAAATATTCATGTCAAAGAAGTTAGCTTACCAATATGGCTTCCATCTCTTCGTTTGAAACTGGCGTACGCTTTGGCTGCGATGACGCCTTCCCGCCCACAGTCCTTGGGATGTTCAAATTGGAGAAGAAAAACGTATCAGCTTCATTTTCCACCTGCTTCGTCCCCTCTGTAATTGCAAAATGTAAAAACTCTCTTAATTCCCAGTAATTAAATCGCACAATCATGAACATTTCCATCAACAAAAAACAGATAAGTAATACACCAAATCAAGCTAAAACAAAAGAGCTTCTACAATGATTTAACATCATGGTTTTTGATTTGATGATAAACAAAACTGTGTGAAAACTAAATGAAAGTATATTCGTCCTCCACGCGAGAAGAACAAAGTAAGTGATGTTTTGAGATACAACATAGTGGATTTTATGAACGATGAATCAGTTTTCTTATTCAACCAAATTCTTTAACAAAAGGAATTACTAAACAAGAGACTCAAAGACAAATCGTAAACGAACTTCGTTTGATTCAAATCCTTCCATATCAAAACTCCGGAGAGTCTCCATTCTAACGATGCAAATTACTCTAACTATCATGGAATCTAAGGTATCTAGAAGCTGATTACATAAATGCAAATCGATGATTCCTTCAGGTTATTTTCTCGGAACGAAGCAGATCAGGGAACGGATACCATCTCATATATGATTCGTGACGATGAAACCGTACAGAGATTTTCTGAATCGAGTAATAAAAGGCCGAGAAAAAATCATGAAACTTAACACCACGAAGAACGACATAGATTCTACATAGAATTCAACGATGAATCAGCACCTGAAGGTTTCAAATGCCGCTGAGGAAATTTGATGCGAGGAATCCTCTTCAGCCCGTGAACTACGTTCATCGCTTTCGCTTCTTTGTTTTCGTCCGTACCAGAGGAGAATGTTGACGGCGACTGGAAATTTTCTCTGTTTCGACTTTTCGTACCTTCTTCGTCTTTATTTCCAAGTTTCTACAACCGTGGGCCGTATTTCGGTGGTCAAGGCCCAGCTAAGCATAAGGCCCATTTAGAAGCCCTTCCAAAGTTGTTTCTTACCGGTATTCTCGGGGTTTGCATTTGCAGTACCAATTGAAACCGATCCCCGTCCGGCCAGTGTTCATGTAAAGCTGTTGATAACGTTATGGAAATTGCAGAATCATAAACAAGAAAAAGATACATGAATTCAACAAGAACTATGTGAAGTTGTTAGAATATTCATCGAATTTTATGGACCAGCCGAAATGAATGAGTTGACGAATATTTGTAGGCCATTGTGGTCTTTTATTGGACTAAAATAGGTTTACAAATGTTGTGAATACAAACATATGAATGAATTTAAATTACAATTAAACAAATGAGATTGGTAAGGACAAGCCGAATGTGCAATCGCGTGATCATTCTACCATTACTTCATTTCTGTAAGTTATCAAAGTTTTCACTGGTTAAGTTTTGAGTTTTTGGGTTTAGACTTTAGAGTCTGACACTTTCCCTAACCCTAAGAATAATATTGTTGTATTATTGCTTGTGATGAGACATCAGAAGATGTGTGTGTTTTGATGGAAAAAAGTTAGAATGACTGAGTCAAACGCATAGAACTTTTGAAGTGGATGGTCGTCATTCGTCAAGCACCAAAACTTTGGTAAGCTTTAAACGCGTTATCTAGATTAACCACTGTTTTGTTTCTATTCTTCTACTCAAATATTATATACGTACGGTTTTATTATTCTGCATATAAAACTCTATGTTGTAATAGATTATATAAAAAATAACAGTTTCCAATAAAATTTTGTTACATCGACGGTATATCCTATATTTTCTTACGTGATGATAATTCTCATGATGTCGTAATCAGCTTTTAAAACAATATATGATACGTTAGCAAAACAAAAAATATTATCTGATGATGCATAGAGAATCTGTGACAAACACTTTGTGTTCATATTTGTTTTTGTTCAGTCAGCTGTGTGTATAGATGATATTATTGAAATGTTAGAGTAGTATTAGTAAGTTTTTTTGTTTTCTTTCTATTAGTTAGACTCATTCAAACTGGAGTAATTGACCATTTCATATACAAATGCCACCAGTGGCACGGCATCATTCTTGTTTGTGGAATTTATGGTTTTTGAAATATATTAAAACGACTGGTAGTTGATTTTTCTGATAGATTATGATTGAAAATTGGATAAATGTGACAAAAATTACTTAATATCATTTTCAGACGCATTATAAGAGAATACTTTAAAGTCATGGTAAAGCTTTTGACTGATTAATGATGTTGATATTACGTTTGCTTCGTTTACCTTAATTCCATTAGACCATGACAATTATCTGCATCCAAAACTCATGAGAAGACACAAATATATATGCTCTGATATTGATAATATAACTGTTATTCGTAACTGCTAATCTCGTAATTTTAATCAGTTATCTTCAAGTAAACCTAAACTTCTCTTAACTCAACATCGACAGTGAACTAATGAACTAAATGAACTTGCCAATTGTTTTGTATTGATTGATTGTAAATTTTTTAAGTAAAGCATGCTCATTATACTTTTTCTCATAGTAAAACAAAACAAATGAAAATTGAAATAATTCTAGTACCCCACGGCAAAGTCACGTCATCCTCTTACCCCAAACCACACTCCACTACGTGTCGAATTAATGAAACCATATTCTTGGTTGCCTATATATACTCTTATGTCACATTACTTGAATCTGCAGACAAACAACCTTGCAATCCTACAAAAACAATAAGATAACACAGAAACCTTCTTTCCCTTTGTCACTAGAAAAGAAGAAGAAAAAATGATGGATTCTTTAGCTAAATGCTTCAACGGACTTCAAGAAAGGTACGAGAGCGTTCTAGAAGCAAAACCCATTTACAGAGATGACTTAGAGTTATCTTTGCCTCTGAATGGATCAGAGGTTTCAGTAGAACCCACCAAAAAGTCTCGGTGCTTGCAGAGAGCCAAAAGGATTGACAAGTCCCTGAGGTTCGAGGAGGAAGAGGAAGAGATGGCAAAGCCTCTGCCTAAGAAAGAAGGTCAAAAGCCACGTAAGGTTGTGAGGTTTCAGTTAGAGAATAATAAAATCCTCGAGCCGAAGAAGCCGGTGAGGTTCGATCTTGATCAAGAACTCGAACCAAAGGAGAAGCCTCTGGAAGAGAAAGAGTGTCTGAGTATGGTTAAAGGGAAGGAGGAAGTTGTGAGAGTAAAGATCAAGATGACGAAGCAGGAAGCTCAAAGGCTACTGTCGAAATGCAAAAACGACAGCGTTTTGGATTTTGACCATGTAGTGGACCAGATCGCACACGTCCCGGTTCATCAGCTTCAAGTCGCTGTGGTTGTGGTTGCTTGCAATAATGAGCGACAAGGAAATGGCTGCTGGTTATCCCAGATGGAATAATTTATGTTGAATTTTTAGTTTATACTTATCAAAATTTTGTAGTTTTAGGGTAATATCTATCTATCAAGTCATGATCATGTGTGTATATATCATAGTATTATGTCACAGATTAGTCGGACTTCTAAACAAGGTTTTGGGGAATATTTTGATTGTTGTGTCCTTAAGTAGGAATCACTTGCGGCGAATATTTGAATATTCAAATATGATATCTATATACAGTATATATCATCTGAATCTACATATCTTGATTGTCGGTATCAACAAATTTTGAGTACTTACGAGTTACGAGCAAATGTCTAATCCACATTCTTTTTCTTTGAAAGAGACAAAACTTAATTTGTGTAGGAAGCAGAGAAAACTAAAAAGCATTTTCATACAAAACCATTAAACTTGAGATTTTTTAAAAATATATGTATATAAAAGTTGATTTTATTTCGAATAAGTACAAAAATATATAAACTCAACTATCGATACATATGTACTTGAAATTATCACTCTCTTATCGTAAGTAACCTCTAGAACGAATTTTAAATCGAACTGAAGATTTAAGAAGATTTTATGGATTTTCGTAGTAACCAAACCAGAAATTCAACTTGAACATTTCAGGTAATCTATCCATTTCCGTAGTAAGCACTAAGCAAGAAACGACTATTAAACCGAAATGGTTAGGTGACTAATCCTCGCAGGAGTCACAATAAACAGCCGAAAATTTATCCAATATAAAAATTGTTTGACTAGTTAGATATATATATACCTACCTTGATAATGATTAAAATTAATTGCTTCGTCTACTTTTTTTCTTTTCCACATGTCCAGCGAGGCACGACAGATCTGTTTGCAGTTTGTTGTTTGAAGCCTTGAAGGTAGATAGAATTTTGATGATATTAGTTTAAAGACGTGTGTATTAATCACTTTTATAACAGTTATGCGTTGTTTGTTGTTGGGTAGTACTCAAAGAAAAGCTTGATGTAGCATTGAATAACAGGACAATCAACTATATCCTCACTACTTAAGTAGTCGTACGTTGATGCTAAATTACTGTAATTAATTAAATCAAACCTTTACTTTTTGCAAATTAATTTTGATAGACTTATTTGGTGCACTACTCTAACCACATTAACTTATCAATGTATTATACATAGATCTGTATTTCTACATGACATGAGATTTAGAGATCTTAACAAACTTTTTAAAGCAACAAAATTATTTTTTGCTAAACTAACAATTTATTTATTTTGACACTTGACAAATGGTATCTTACATGAGAGACGAAAATAAATTAAAATACATAATTTCGTGCTTTTTTCTTTGGGATTTTCTATAGGGTAAATAAGCCTTTGCCGATTTCAAACACCGAAGAGCTCTCACACTGAGACAAAACAGTTCTCAGGTGAAAAAATCCATCGGGGAAAAAGGGGCAAAAAAAATAGGCAAAAGCAAACTCCCCCCATAAAAAGTCCCATCTTTAATAAGAAAAATAAATGAAACTTAAAACCTTAGTGATCTAAAAAAAGGATTTAAAAAAGTGATTACGAAAGTGTTTCTTCAGGCCATTCAGTGATTCTGTCCAACGACGGCCTCCACTTTCTACATCTCCGGCGAGACTCCTCTTCTTCCTCAGCCGCTTTTGCAGCCGCTTCTCCGGCAGATCTCTCCGCCTCTAATTCCTTGAGAAAATCGCCGAAAGAAGCCAAAGTGGTTTCTCCTTTGCCGTCAACGTCGCCGCCGGCGTTTAACTGGAAGAGAATAAGTTTCTCTAACTCATCTCTTCTAAGAACAATCTTCACTTTGCGATCCTTTCTGTTGTAATCTTTCTTCACTTCTTCTTCTTCTTGAGCCACTCTTGCAATGTTGTTTCCTCCCATCAAACAGTTTCCCATTTTTATAAAAGCAAATTTAGAACAAAAAGTTTTTGTTTTTTTGGGAAATAATAACCACAAAAAAGTTTAGAAGAAGAAAAAAGAAAACTTGGGAAAATGCCCAAGAAAAAAAAATCTTTCTTCTTCTCGTTTTCTTCTGTGAGGGTCAATTAGATGGAAGTTGGAGACTTGCATGGATCAATGTGTGATATGGAAGTTTATATATAATGTTGAGTGTGTCTGTTTAACGATAGATGGATGATGATGACTCATAGCAAGGATGCTGAATTGCTGATCTGTTTGATTTATATTTTTTAAATGTACATTATCGTTAGCTTTATTGATTATAAATTCAACCATCCAAAAATTGTTATTCGGTTATGAAGATGCTACTTTCGATCTAGTTTAATTGAAGAAAAATTCTGATTGAAAAATAGAGTTCAAAGCTAAACAAACCTAAACCTAATGCTACAATATCACTAAGAACAACTGTGGATAGCTGGACTAATTCATGTTTCAGCTCATTTGTACGTTACTATAAAGTATTTTGGTAGAGTTTTACGTCGTTATATACTGTCGTATAATCTTAAAATAGTTTGGAATATAGCTCTTTTGACGAAGAAGAAATTCTCCATAATCAAAAGAGAAACAAATATATATAAACAACGAAGTTTATACTAATTTTTAAATACTAACCTAAACGGCTAAACCTAGAAATTCAATTAAAATCCAATGCGGGTATGTTTGAATTATTTATGATGCATGCGTCTAAATTATTGTTTCGATAATATATGAATAAGAGTTTAGTAAACTTTGTTTGGCATTGAGAAAACTTTAACAGTTTTACTACTACTTATTTTATTATTAGTAAAAAGATGGTAGAAGACACAATAACGCAAGTTCATGTTCTCTCCGGTTAGTTGGTACCTTTAAACCAAAACAAAACGGTATTAAAACCTGGCAACGCACATTTATACCAACCACCAACCTGTCTTGTTTATTTTTTTATAATCGTCTTCAGATTCAATAGTCATTAGTAGTATACTTTATTTCATATATAAAACCCATCTACGATCTTATTAAACAAATGTTACATGTTAATAGCTTGTAGATACATTTCATTTTCGTTTCCCTTAGAATTTAATCATTAATAGAATCCAATAATTCAAAGTATGATCTGTTTCAAACAATGTCAAACCACATTCTTCCAAATTATTCTCTCCGGATTTTATTAAACAAAACCAAAGTAATACGAAATCGGTTTAAAAAATAGCTAACAGAAATCGATTTCTGAACTTAATCCCAACCACTTAACTACAGCCATTCGACGAATTTCAAATACTAGTGTAAATGATATACAGTTGCAACGGTTGTCCTATAGCTAATGATCGTTTTCAAAATAAGTGTGATTATGATGTGATAACCATAATTATTGCATTTGAATCTTATAATAACGTACATATATGAACACGAAATAATTCATCATTTTTAATACATACTACATAGAATATAGTAGACGTAAATGTCTTTATCAGATGATCCTATTATTAAGCCCTACCGCGTTATATTAATTATTGGATCGCATCAATTCTTATCACTGGAAGAAACTTCGCGGAAATTGCATTAAGGACAACAAGTACTGAACTACGTGGCGGTGTCACGGGGGCTGTCGTTATTTATGTTCCTACAACTTCAAGGGGCCAAGTCGGCCACAAGCTTACAACTTTTAATCAATTTATTTTTTTTAATCGTTTTAAAATAACGAGAAAAGCAACAAGTGACGTGGAAATATTGGGTTATCCTTATCTGACAAACAATATTTTTTCTGGTTAAGCTAATATCATATACCTCACTCTTATCTTATACGTTGAATTTGGGCCCCAAGCCCAACATCTAAATTTTGGTACTTTGTAATGTATGGCCCAATTCATAACAAGTTTCTTTCTCTTTTTTTTCTAATGAATTATCAAAGACCAGCTTTGAGCCTTTGATGATTTATTAATTCAAGGTTCTAATCTCCTATGCCAGCAAATCCATGTATCAAACCGAATAAACAATTTGTTTTATATATTCTTATATGTAATTAGTAAGTTTCAAAATCCATTAATCCGTGATCAAACCAAATAGACTCGAAAGAATGATTGTGTTTATTATTCTAAAACTCATTAAAAACCTGCTGAAAATGAAAGTAAATTGTAGTTGTAGAACGAGTAGCTTTTATATAATAGTAAACTGTTACGCATAAGCGACAAACTCCATACATTAAAGTACAAAGTTGGATGCATAACTTAGGAACTAAAAGACAGACAACGTGCAAGGGAACCTCATTTCAAACCAACAAAACAACAATCTAAAGCGTTTGTTAACATGAGATGTGAAAAGAAAGTTCTTAAAATCTCATAACTCGTTGACTCTAACTCACTCCGTCTTTCTGCGTTTGTTTTTCAGATTTGAAAACATTTGATCAATATCTGCAGATGTTATCACCTTTGATGGCCCAGCATTCTCCTACGGAAACAACAAGATCAATAAAGTCTTTTTTAAGATGTGTATCAGAGAGGGTTCCTGAGAAATCAAATGCTATCAATACATGTATACATACCAGTAAACCGCAGAATTCTTCTTTGAAGTCTTTGATGCCGTGAAGGATCTCGACTTTAGCTACATGGTCGAGATTATTCAGAAGATCAAGTGCTTCACCCTCTTGTTTCTCCAGCTTCTCTGTTCTCTTCTCCTTTGCCTTCTTCTCGTATTCGCCAATCGTGTCCTCTGCATCAAGTAAGTAGCTTACCTTTCTCTCGCTGTACATCTCTACGCACTTGTCGCATTTGCACAACATGTTCCTCCAGTTTTTGGTCAGAAACAGCGGTTTCTTCTCAAACTCAGTACACGAGGTTAGACGCGTCCCAATAGCACAATCAGCCGCAGGAATGGGTTCAGAGCCATCGACCTTCGCAGTACATTTTCCTAAATCAGATTCTTTAGCTTCAGTACCGTTCTCAGGCTGATTAGGTTCAGAAGCCGAGGGGTCTTTGTTTAACTCGGTAGTGTCTGAACAAGCATTAGCAGAACCGGTGGGATCTACTGGAGAAGCAACCCACAATTTCTCAGGATAAAGCGTCAGAAACGAACAAAGTGGGGAGCAGTTTTGACAAATGAAATCCTCGTAGATCGGCTCTCCTTCCTCATCCCTTGGAATCTGTTAACATCACATAACAAATTGAACGAAAACACCAAACAAAATGTCAAAAACTGTTTCACAAGGGTAAGCTCTGGCCACACCACATACCTGGCTACTAACACTGTCTGAAGTTTTGAGACCGAGATGCTCCTCGTGAAACCAATCCTCACAGATACAACACTGTATCATCTCCACTTGCTCTTCCACGTTTGGGTCAGGGTAAGGTTGGTCGCAGGAGCAGTACAAGCCTTTGAAGTTGTGGTTGTAAGAATTCTCAGAGTTTTCTATGTCTTTCCCCGGGAGAAGCTTACACGCTAAAGCTCCGAACTTTGAGTTCCCGCAATCGCATCGGAAATTTCTCTTAGTCCAGAGCTCCAAAAGCTTTCATAACCAGAACAATGTTTATACCATTAGGAAACCAATAAACACATGAGAATCAGATAGACATGTAAATTGTAATCTGTATATATATCAACTACATTACCTCATGGCCTTCATGACAAGATAAGCAACAAGCAGTGCAAACTCCAGCATTACCCTCTGGGTTACATGTAATGCATGAGAAAATCGCCTGTCTTTTCATGTAACCCTTTGGGTAAGTACACTCATCTCCCTCATCTCCACCCAACACCAAATCAACTTCCTTCAGACCATGAATTACAAAAGGCAGTTAGTGATATTAAACAACACACAGATTCTGAATGAAAAAACGAAACCCAGTTCATAAACTATTGAAATTCATAGAAACAGTTGAACACACACACACGTAAATCACTAGCAAGCTCGAGACTGTACAATAAGTCAATAACCATCGGAAATACTGTATTAGCATCAGAAAACCCTAATTTGTTGACACTATAGTCTGAACGAATTTCAAATTTTCAGGCATTAGAAGGGAAAAAAACCCATTTTTGTTATCACCCAAGAAGGGAAAATGCGAAAGAAATCAACTTTCGTAAGAATCAGGAACATATAAAGCTTTTAAAAAATTGATTAGGATGGGGAAAGCGAATCATTTACCAGCTCTTCCGCGTCCAAGCTTTCGATGTATTCATTGATCGATACAGTTCCCTCTTGATCATCCTCAAAGTTACCTGATGCCATTTCCGCAATTACCCCACTCGTTCAAAAAAAACCGATTACTGTTTACAATTTCACACCTGAAATCACCAGTAAAACATGGAATTGGGTATAAGTGAAGCTATTTGAAATACTCAACGAGAGATTTCCCTAAATCCCTGAAAAATAGAAACCCTAAAGCGATTGCGAAACACAGAAAGAGTAATGTAAATCAGAAAATTCCAGTCACCGATACAGTTTCAGACTTGAAAAAACCAAGGGTTTTTCATTTTACAAGACGGAGAAAAACGAAAACAGAGAGAGAGAATTTGGGGAAAATTACGGTAAGATGCTAAGCTCAAGGGTTTGGAGAATGGAGGATCTAGCGAGTTAAAAAAAAATCTTAAATGCGAAATGTTATATAAACCAGGGACTTTATGGACATTTTCCCGCCAATAATAACTCCCCAATTCTATGAAATATTATTTTATTTACCTTTTCCCTCCATTAATTATCCGCTACTTTTTTTATTGTTGAAATTGATCTTTATCAAAAAAAAAACTTCCCAAAATTCTAGTAACTTTTGGAAATACATACAGATTATACATTATTATTTTGAGATAAATTATCAAAAAAGAACATTTATAAAAATATCCGATCTCTTATCTAACAAAAACTCATAATATTGGAGGTAATTTTCCTATATTAAAAACGGTGAATAAAAAGGCGGCAAAGTGGTAATTTTCCTAGATTAACATCACTGAATTGGGCTTTAGTAGGATGAGACGTAGCCCATTAAGAGGTTGAATATGAGAGTTTTGTTGACCTTTGACAAAGATATGGGCAGTGAGGAGCAACCAATCGTAATCGCAGTAGGTTCTTTATAACTCCGATCCGCAGAGGAGCCGTGTGGTCCCCTATCTCACAATCTTCGCTAGATTACAAGTAAGGAAGAGAGAAAGTTCTGGTTCTACACAAGAGAGAGAGAGAGAGATCGATCATGTCGCAGCAGAAGAAATTCATTTTCCAGGTCGAAGAAGGTAGAGAAGGTAGCGATGGAAGACCTTCTGTCGGGCCTGTGTACCGGAGTATCTTCGCCAAGGACGGTTTCCCTGAGCCGATCGAAGGAATGGATAGTTGCTGGGATGTTTTCCGGTGAGTTTCTAAACCGATTAAACCGATCGGAGTTTGCTTTTGCATGACTGTTTTTCCCAATCGTGCTGAGATTTTTTGATCCGTGAATCTAGTATTTGACAGTTGACTGATCGTGGAAACTGTTCTGACTTTGATTTTTTTTTTTTGTATTTTGAATTCTCATCTAGTAAGAACCATACTGTTTGTTTATCTGGCCTTGATTAATATCTGTTTTTAAGCTTTGTGAATTACAAGATTTATACGTTAGTATCGCACCTAAGAGCTCTAATCGATAATGATATAATTTGTTTGTTAATGGTTTTGCCTTTAGTAATTTAACAACTCATGATTGGCATGTGAATGATTTACACATTTACACTACATGCATTTGGTAATTTGGTTGATATCTCTTTTTGTTTTTGGTTTTTAGTGTCATATTTTTTTTTTTTTTTGTTGACATGTTCCTTTTCAACTACTCTACTTTTTGTTTGCAGCATGTCTGTTGAGAAATATCCGAATAATCCAATGCTGGGCCGCCGTGAGATCGTGGACGGAAAGGTGTTGTTACTTGATTTTTGGTGATTTTTGACTTTTATTACGGATTTGTTCACTTTTGTTTCATTCTTCTCAGCCGGGAAAGTATGTATGGCAAACATACCAAGAAGTCTACGACATTGTCATAAAACTCGGAAACTCTCTCCGAAGCTGTGGAGTTAAGGAGGTTATGATCCATCTTTTTCCTTTCTGATATCAATCTTGAGTCTCATTATTCCCCTGGGATGTGATTATTCCGTTGCTTAAATCTTGTGGTTTCCTGATATGTGGGAGTTTAGGAAGCAAAATGTGGAATCTATGGTGCCAATACTCCCGAGTGGATCATAAGCATGGAGGTAATCTTGCGTGCTGGATTGTGATAATATCATCGATTGTGTTTTCTTTGGTTAGAGGACTAACAGTGAACGTTTTTTTGATGCAGGCATGTAATGCACATGGACTCTATTGTGTACCTTTATATGATACACTTGGAGCTGGTGCTATTGAATTCATTATTACCCATTCTGAGGTTTCAATTGTCTTTGTGGAAGAGAAGAAGATCTCTGAGGTACAGTATGAGTATATCTTCAATGTATTGATGACCGTTATCAATTTTTTTACACTATTTGTGGAACTTCTTCTCATCTCTTTCTTTTTTTTCCTTTTGACTATTAGTTGTTTAAGACATGCCCAAAGGCGACAGAGTACATGAAGAGTGAGTAATTCATGTTTGTGTTCTGCCTTTTTTGGGGCTTTTAACATATGTTGCTAATGATTGATTGTGTGCTTGATTGTAAGTGCAGCTGTTGTGAGCTTTGGTGGTGTCAAACCTGAACATAAAGAAGAAGCTGAAAATTTTGGCTTGGTTATCTATGCTTGGGATGAATTTTTGAAGCTGGTATGAAACATGTCATTTGCTTTTCCTGAAATTGATTGACTCGTTCACTATTCTATTTTCGTTCCAGTGGTTCACCATGTTTTAACTTTCCACTGTGAATATTTCTGCCAGGGCGAAGGAAAGCAATATGATCTTCCCATCAAAAAGAAAAGTGATATTTGCACGATTATGTATACTAGTGGAACCACTGGTGACCCAAAGGGAGTGATGATTTCTAACGAAAGCATTGTTACTCTAATTGCTGGAGTGATCCGTCTACTGAAAAGCGCTAACGTAGCGGTGAGTTTTCTTCTTGTTTTCGTACAATCTTTAAGCTTCTCCTGTCCCTGGCTCTGATCTTAATCGATTTTCTTTTTTGGCTGTGCAAATCAACAGTTGTCTGCGGAAGATGTGTTTCTTTCTTATCTTCCGCTTGCGCACATCTTTGACCGAGTTATCGAGGAGTGTTTTATTCAACATGGCGCTGCAATTGGCTTCTGGCGTGGGGTCAGTACTGCTCAAAGCTTACTATTTAATCCTGTTTTCAATTTGTTACGTAAACTTCTCTGGGTTGTCTCCTCAGGACGTCAAATTGTTGATAGAAGACCTTGGTGAGCTCAAGCCAACTATTTTTTGCGCTGTACCTCGTGTCCTAGATAGAGTATACTCAGGTAAGATGTTTGAAATATCGTATGCCCATGTCTCTTCAATTCTCCATGTTTATCCCAAATATCCGCATCTGGGGTTATACATTTGTACCACGTTACACTCCTGCATTAAAAACTATTACTAGCTGATGATGAGATATATCAGATGTAAATATCATTCTTAATTCAACAAGAATATTTATGATAAGCTCTCATGCTTTCTTCCGTGGTGGATACCTTGTTTTCGCAGCATTATGCATACTCTAATTTTTCTTTTAACGATCATTTCAATTCATATCATGGACATCAATTGGTTTTTTTCTCTTCAACAACATTTCCGTGTTTCATGACGCTGACGTACTGTATCTAACAGGTCTTCAGCAGAAGCTTGCCGCTGGTGGATTCTTCAAAAAGTTTTTGTTTGATTCTGCTTTTTCCTAGTAAGCCGGAGTTCAGTTTGCTTATCTGTTTCCCCTAATCTTTAAGCTATAAGATCTAACACACTGAAACATCCTCAGTAAATTTGGGCATATGAAGAAGGGACAGTCTCATGTGGAGGCCTCTCCATTATCTGACAAACTTGTGTTCAGCAAGGTAGTAATCCTCTTCATTTAATTTATTTACTACAAAATATTTGAAGACTCTTCGTAGTGAAACTTCATAGCAATTAATTCCCTTGCTTTCTCACTCAGGTTAAACAAGGGCTCGGAGGCAAGGTGAGGATTATTCTATCTGGAGCTGCTCCTCTCGCTAGTCACGTCGAGTCATTTCTAAGAGTGGTGGCTTGCTGTCATGTTCTTCAAGGATATGGTACCCATTGACAATATAGAGTTATTAGATCCATTTGAACTGCATAAACGAGCCAGTTTTAAATTGATCCCTCATCAACAAAGGTGATTATTAGTTGACTGTTTTGTTGTTGTTGTATGTTTGTCTCTTTGTAGGTCTAACCGAAAGCTGTGCTGGAACATTTGTCTCGCTACCAGACGAGCTGGACATGCTCGGCACAGTTGGTCCACCAGTGCCAAACGTTGATATACGCCTTGAATCTGTCCCCGAGATGGAGTACGACGCTCTTGCAAGTACCCCACGTGGTGAAATTTGCATCCGGGGAAAGACCCTTTTCTCTGGATACTACAAACGTGAAGACCTCACAAAAGAGGTTCTCATTGATGGATGGCTGCACACAGGTATTTCTTTCTCCGAGCCTGTAAAGAAGAAGAAAAATGATCGTAGAGTTATTTAGGAACTAGTTTAAAATATATTGACACTATGCTTCTCGTCATCACATCAGGTGATGTTGGTGAGTGGCAACCAAATGGAAGCATGAAGATAATTGACAGGAAGAAGAATATCTTTAAACTCTCACAAGGAGAATATGTTGCGGTTGAGAACTTAGAAAACATCTACGGTGAAGTACAAGCTGTTGATTCCGTAAGTTATAGCTACTGAATTGTATTCTTCTCTTTCTCACGCATAGGTTTGGTAAAGAAGATTCTCACCTACGAATAATTTACAATCTTCGTCTTCTTCCCATCAAATTTATTAGGTGTGGGTGTACGGAAACAGCTTTGAGTCCTTCCTGGTCGCAGTCGCCAATCCAAACCAGCATATCCTCGAAAAGTGGGCTGCAGAAAACGGTGTGAGCGGTGACTACAGCGATCTCTGTCAGAACGCAAAGGCAAAGGAGTTCATACTCGGAGAGCTTGTTAAAATGGGCAAAGAGAAGAAGGTTAATTCTTTCTCTCTATTATCATTTAAGTTTTCCGCTAATGGTCAAATTCATGGTTTCTTCTTTGTATCTATTTATTTCGTTTTAAAATTATATTGTGATGGATTTTGCAGATGAAGGGTTTCGAGATCATCAAGGCGGTTCATCTAGACCCGGTGGCGTTTGACATGGAACGCGATCTTCTTACCCCGACCTACAAAAAGAAAAGGCCTCAATTGCTGAAACACTACCAGGTATTACAAAAAAAACTCGATTCAGTGTTGAAGCCATATAAATAAATACGATATAAAGCGTAAAAATCTAGTGGCATTAAGTGTTAACTCAAGTCACTTTTCCTCAAATCATCTGACAGAGCGTGATCGATGAAATGTACAAGACCACAAATGAAAGATTGGCTTCCAGACAGTAGATTCCTCCTCACGGTCTCTTTGCTTGCTTTTTCTTCGGGTCTCTCATTTTGCATGACGAAAGACTTCGTTTATAGGCTCTTTTGTCATCTATCTTTTTTTTTTTTTTTTTCTTTTTGAATCTACTTTCATGTTGAATACTTACGTTATGTGTTGGTCCTTCTAAACACTTAAAAGCTTTAAACATCTCTATTTGCGAATCGGGACGTAGTTAGTTTTGTTTAAGATCTTTTAAATCTATAAAACTTTTTAGAACATCAAGATTACTTTCATACATCCCATCCGATCAGACAAACAGTAAAGAATACTTTATGCGATTTCAACTAAAATACAAAATTAAAATAATAATAGAGTGAAAACATAAGTGTGAAAATGATGCTATTGCCTATATATGTCAACAAGACAGATAGATATTCTTTTTCAAGTGAAACTAAATTAACATCTTGTTCAACCTTTTTGCTTATGATCAAGTCAAGTGGATCACTGAATCGAAATCAGCTAATATCTCCGGTACACTGACAAACTCACCTTCCCGTGGAAGCAATCGCGATAAAGGTGAATCTTGTAGAGCAACCAACTCTTCCCTATTATACTTCACCCTCTGATCTGTATCCACAAATAAATCACACATATAAACTTTGCGACTCTTCTAATCACGTTTCTATTTCATGAAGTGTTATAAAAGAGCACGTTACTGAAAAAGAGCATACCTATGGAACTCCTGGAAATAGCAGCAGAAGTCTCCGGTCTCGGGTTGTTCTTCCTCCTCGATGCCTTTGCGAAACTCTGCGGAGGAGATGACCGAGGAAGAAGTTGATTTTGGTCGAGAGAAGTAGAATCCTGCACGAACTCATGCTTGACTTTGACGTGAGGGTGTCTTTTGCATAGACCAGCGATAGCGTCTTTGGTTAAAAGCCAACAGCCTTTGAGGTCGAGTGTTCTCAAGCTTAAAGGCGGCTTAAACTTTTCGAGACCATTGTTGGTCAAAACTGCATCTCGGACTCCGAGGCTGACTATGTTTGGTAGAGAGGAGAGAGAGTGGAGGGTGAAATCTGTGAGGGAAGGGCCTTTTAGGGACAAATGTGTTAAGCCGGTTAGGCTACTTAGAGGTGAGAGAGCTGTGTCGCTTAGGTATGGATGTTCTAGACTCAACGTCTCAAGTGAAGTTAGAGACTTGAGCGCTGCTAGTGACGGCTCTGCTTCTTCTTCTTGTGGAGATTGTTTTTGGATGAATCCTGAAAGAAAGAGTCATGGAGTTTAAGACTTTTGGTCGGTTATTATCCGCTAGATATAGTGTTGAAGCCCCATACGTACCTTTGATGCTGGTCATGCTCAAGTCAAGGTCTTTAAGGCACGGCATCATGGTGCTGATATATAAGATAGATAGGTCGTCGACAAATGTCTGGGACAGAGATAATGTCTCGAGCCGTGGTACATGTGGGGAAAGTATTTCAACCCCAGTGGAAGTGATTTTCGTGTCCGAGACATTGAGATTCCTCAGAGTATCACCAACACATGCTACAAACTCGACAGAATCATCCCCGAAAGCTGTGGAGCTCAGATCAAGATGCTCCAGCTTCGTCATAGTTTCTAAGAAGCTGAAGTTTTGGATGGGAGTCTTGGAAACGTCTACGTAGGTTATAGAGCTTTTGCTGGCGAAGTAAAAGGCCTCGGTTTCGGCACTGAAAGTGGCTCCGGATAAAACGAGCTTTTTCAAGGAAGATAATGCGGAGCAGTGAGTTTCTGATATGGAGAGAAGGGCACACTTGTTCATGTGTAAGCATTCAAGATGCGGTATGTCTGGAGCCTGTGTGACGCTGGTCCACGAGAGGTTGAGGAAGCTCAAGTTTGAAAATTTGAGAATACTGACAGCTCCTTCGTTGGTGACGTTGCTGCCCCAAATGTCAAAGTACTCTAGCTTTGTTAGTCCCTGAGGAACAAAAAAGAATTGGCAATCAGAAATAAGATGATTGAAGTTTGAACATATCAATGTTTAATGTTATTCACACCAAAAAGACTCTATTTGCACATTGAACATACATGTGAAATCCATTGCATATGGATCAATGAGTGTGATAACCAGAAAATGATGTTTCAATATAGAATCCTGTCGTTTCTATGTGCACAATACTCTGCACTCAACTTAGAACCTAGAACAATTTTAGCAGAGTTCTTACAATTCAACTATATAGATGATAACCATTGAAACTACACAAATCAATCACATACAACGAGCAATTAAATATTAAAATTTGCCAACACAACAACATAAGTGTAACTACAAAATAAAGAAAGAGCAAAAGCAAGGTACCTGGAGAGAAGTCAAGTTGCGATCAGTTACAGGCAAGCCGCCCAAATCAAGAAGAGACAAGTTTTTAAGTGAAGCAAGAAGAGAGATTCCAGCTTCTGTAACGCCCGTTTGTGAAATCCACAGCTTTTCCAGATTTGCAACAGACTGGAGATGCTTAATACCAGCATCCGTAACCTTTGAACATCTTGAAAGATCCAACTCCGTCAAACTTGTTAATCCTGAAAAACCCCAATATCATCATCATTATATGTAAATAAATAAATAAAAAACTTAAATTTGTCATAAGAACTTGCATTACATTTTCGTTCAACATACCTGTGATAGGCCAGAGGGTGGAATTGTTGATTCTCTGGCAATCAGAAAGATTTAGAGATAAGAGATTAACAAAGCCTCCAATGTAAGCCATCCATTCTGCGTTAATGGAGCTTTCTCCTCGAAGATCTATTTTCTCTACAGAATGTTTGAATACTCTGCAGAGAAAAAAAGAGTTTTGTTTAGCAGTGATAGAGCTTACAATGGATCAGTCTCAATGCAATCAATCAATTTACAAAAGCTTTTGTCTAATCTAATATCAATTCAACTCTCAACAGTGAACCAAGCAAACAAGATTTCTAGAGCCGCCTGCAAAACTAAGATCCCAAAAGTGATGTTCAACATTTCAAATCCAAGCATATATCTTATCACCATTTCGAGATCGGAAGATCAAATTCAAGCTAATTTTCTTCGATCGACCTTACAAAACGAATCGGAAACTGTATAAGAAAGTAAAAAAAAGAGTTTACTCGAGTAACGAAGGGAAAAGCAGTCGCCGGCGAAGGAGGTGGCGGAGGAGAGCATCGGCAAGGTGAGGAGGCAGGCGCTCTAGGCTCCGTCGCTGAAGACGCCATCGTTCCACCGCATCTCCGCTCTTGCAAGCTTGCTCTAAGCATAAGCGCACCAACGGACTCGCCATCTCCATCTCCATCTCCATCGTTGAAATGTCTGATTCCACTATATATATAATATGGAAAAGGAATATTTCAATTAAGTATCGCTAATCTATTAATTACGAACCATGAATCCATAAATAATCAAAGTATCAATAATATACGAACCACATAGTAAGAGAGCTCGGTAATAAACATGATTTATAAATTGAATAAATATTGAGAATATTATAAAACACGAGGTCGCTTACCTCGTTGATTGGAACAGACGAACAGTGATGGAGAGGGATTAGAAATTGAGAACACTTAGCTCAAACGATTAGGTTTCAATAACTTACTGTGAACCAAAAAAAAATTGGTGTGTCGCACTTTTATAAATGGAAGGAATTTCTCTAAAATGAAAGGGTTTTACTTTTACTTTTACTTAGACACAAAATAAAATTTGAAAAACAAATACAGTAAAACTTTTATAAATTAATAATGTTGGGACTTTAAAAATTTATTAATTTATAGAGTAATTAATTTATCGAGAAATTAATATTTTATTAATTTATAGAAAGATGTTTCAGTTCAAATTCAAAATATTTGTCAAAAAGTAAAAAAATATTTTCAATAATATAAAATTTATTTAGAAAATATCATATCAGTGAATTTGAAAAATAAGTTGAACAATTTTTATAAACTTAAAACAATAATATAATTATATTTTACTATATTATATTATTTATATATGCTTAAATATATAATTATTAATTTATCTAATTATTTGGACTATATTTTTACATAGAAGTTTTTAAAAAATTATTATCTTATTATTTTATTGAAATTTACTAATTTTTACATAAATCCGATTTGGAACCAGCAAAAATTATTAATTTATAGTAATTATTAATTTATCGAGTGTTAATTTATAGAAATTATACTGTAAAACCTAGAGACAACTAATTCATAACAAGAATTATGAAAAGTCCCCCATTTCTGCATTTTGTATAATTGGACTATATTATTTCATTACAAGAATTATAATGGGCATCCTTATTGGGCTGTTAATTTACACGATATATGACCCAATCAAAAAATTTGTAGCCTATATTTGGCCCGTTGACACACGTGTGCTGATACGTGTGCTTTCTTCCATTGAACGTTTGTCTCGAAGCGCACAAACTCTCACACACATTATTAACTGCGCGCTTTATTATCGCCCAATAAATTAATGTAATTAAAAAGGAAAGAAAGAAATAAATTCTGTAAGATTTTCTCTTCTCTGTGTACTCATCTCTTTGTCTCAGTTAAACTCTCTCAACATCAAAATGTGGCGATTCTCCGCTTCGATTCTCCTCCTCTCATGTCTCGCCGTCTCCCTCCTCGCCGCCTCTTCGTCGGCGTTCGGCTATTCGGAGGCGACATGTTCCGGAATAGTGCCATTACGGTACCGGAACGATAAGATCTCGATAACCGACTTTGGCGGCGTCGGGGATGGACGGACGGTGAATACGAAGGCGTTTAGGGCGGCGATTTACCGGATTCAGCACCTGAGGAGGAGAGGAGGCACGCTTCTGTATATACCTCCGGGAGTGTTTCTCACGGAGAGCTTCAGTCTCACCAGCCATATGACTCTCTACTTGGCTAGAGGCGCCGTAATCAGAGCTGTTCAGGTTAATTTTTCAGCTCTCTATTTTGTTATCACTGCGATTTTGGATTTTGAAATTCCCATTGGTATGTTTGCTTCATCATTGTTGGTTGCAATTTTCTGATTATACGAATTTCGTTAGTTTCTGATTTGAAATCCAAATTTAGTTCATTTGTCAGTGTAATAAATTATTGGTGGGTGGGTCTTTATCTGCTTTCTGGAATCAAGTTCGAATAATTAAATACTCACTTACTTAGTCACTAGTGTGAGTGATTTATCTGTCTTTCAGTGATCAGCTGCTAGGAAAAATATTTCCATTTCAAAATTTGTCAGACCATAGATATTTAAGCGAAGTATTCCAAAAATGGAAGTGCTTTTTTCTGCTTGCTTGGATCTGGATTCTGAAAATGTATAAGTAAATGAAGTTAAATGTAATAATTATTTTGAAAGAAACAAGAAGATTTGGGGAACCATGCACGTATAATAATTAATAACGAAATGGGGTATGGGAGTGGTAATGGTAGGTCCGAGCATCATGGGACCGTCCGGGCTAAAACGTTATTGTATATGCATGTGGTGGTGTACTGCTTTTATGTCTATGTTTCAAACAGCTGACCCAGAGATAGCTGGCAAATTTTGTCATAATTTGGTTATTATATTCTTAATAAAAAAAATATCTGAAAGATATCTTGGTTAGTGTGTTTTAACTTTAGGAGTGTGGACAGTTTGGGTTTTATCGTCGTGATCATCGGAGTAGGATGCTGCCATATATGTTAAACCTCGGATACAATTCTTTTTTTTTTTTATAAATTAAATTCTCTGATTGGTTTGTCTTCAAGTGTGTGAAAACAAAAACACTACTTGTCATTGTAGTGTATGTCAATGTGTGTGTGTTATAAACATTATTCAACTGACGACCATTTCATGTGGCCTGACTCGCTTGGGATTTGAGATAGCCTCTTAGAGCCTACTTGTTCAGATTAAGATATTTTGTAATTTGAGTGATCATTATTAATATATATGAATAAGAAAACTCATACTGTGAATAATGTGAATAGTTTTGTGGCCTTGTGGTGTATGTTGACCTCAGGATACATGGAACTGGCCATTGATTGATGCTTTACCATCTTATGGAAGAGGGAGGGAACTACCAGGGGAACGGTATAGGAGCTTTATTCATGGCGATGGCCTTCGGGATGTAGTCATCACTGGTTAGTAGTAGTATAGACCATCTTATCAATTACTAAGGGGAACAGAGTGTTTCTTGTTTTGGTGATATATGATGTTTAGCTCTGTTTTGACATTACATTGCAACACTACTATATACACAGGACAAAACGGGACAATAGATGGTCAAGGAGAAGTGTGGTGGAACATGTGGCGCAGCAGAACACTAAAGTTCACTAGACCGAATCTAATCGAGCTCATGAACTCCAAGGAGATCATAATCTCCAATGTCATTTTCCAGAATTCACCCTTCTGGAACATTCATCCTGTGTATTGCAGGTACAAAAGCTAGTTAAAGCATAGATGTATCTTTCTCTTCTTCTGTTATTGACTCTGTTCCTCGTTTTCATCTGTGGCAGCGACGTTGTCATCCATCACGTTACCATCTTAGCTCCACAAGATTCTCCCAACACCGATGGAATCGATCCAGGTTTTGTTTTGCTCTTTTTTACTCTTTTAATGTCTTGATCTGAATCAGAGCCGTTTTTCTAACATCTGAGCAAAAATTAATCTGTCTATAGATTCCAGCTATAACGTCTGCATAGAAGACTCCTACATCTCAACAGGAGACGACCTTGTCGCCATCAAAAGCGGTTGGGACCAGTACGGAATCGCCTTTGGCCGTCCAAGCTCAAACATAACGATACGCCGCATCACAGGGTCTTCCCCGTTCGCAGGAATCGCTATAGGAAGCGAAACATCAGGAGGCATCAAGAACATCGTAGCAGAACACATCAGTCTCTCCAATATGGGAGTTGGAGTCAACATCAAGACAAACATTGGTCGTGGAGGATACATCAAAAACATCAAAATCTCCAACGTTTATGTCGAAAACGCAAAGTACGGGATCAAGATCGCAGGCGACACGGGAGATCACCCGGACGCGTTTTATAACCCAAACGCTCTCCCAGTTGTTAAAGGAATACATATCAAGAACGTTTGGGGAGTAAACGTTCAAAACGCTGGCTCCATACAAGGCCTTAAGGGTTCACCTTTTACAGGTAACTTTTTGAGTGTTTTACCATCATTATTCATCACATGTGCTTGATTATTATATAACTTTTTGAAAACATAAATGTTCAGGGATATGTTTGAGTGAGATAAATCTACATGGAAGCTTGAATTTGTATCGGTCGTGGAAGTGTTCCGATGTTAGTGGAACTTCACTTAAGGTCAGTCCTTGGCCGTGTTCGGAGCTGAGAACTACCGGCGGGTCTTATTCGTGTTCTTCCACTTTTTGAAAACTTCCGAGCAAGTTTTTGTTTCCTTCTCGATTCGTTTTTTTTTTAAACGTAAATTAATCACAAACTTGCAGTTCCTCTTCATTAATATCTATATGTTTGTATTTTGAAAACTAATAATATTATATTATATAATGGATACAAATTCTGTAAAACGATGAAAGTTCAATGAGTAAAGTTTATGGTAATTAAAGTCTGGTTTCAATGCCAAAGTTCTTTTGCAAATGCGGGATCGATAAGTGATATTCATATATTACTAATGTTGTTGTCTTATCAATTGAATTCAAATTCGAGAATGTGCACTAGTGCATAAAAGTTGCAGACAAAAAAATGTTAAATTTATGACTTAACAAATCATATAATTTTTTACTTCTTTGATAAAAAAATTTGTGTTTACTTCCGTGAAACCTGCTTGGTCAACGATTTAAAAATAGTATTCTCAGGAAAAAAAAGCCGATTGGGAAGTTCTCGAATAATTTGAACGCATCATATGTTCCTTGACTAGTATGAATATATATTGTTTGATTGGTAAATTAAGTCAAACAAAATTTTTTTACGTAAGTCAAAGTGATTAGGATAGATATAATAATACCTTCTTGTAGCTCATTATTAAAAAAAAAAATCATAATGCTTCACTTTCCCGACCCCTATAAATTGGCAGTGAGACGAAGATTTACAAGAAAAATAAAATAAGAGAAAAAGAAATGGCAAGTTCGAGCAAAGAACTCTATTATGTATTTTTGAAAAGAGATCCCGAGCATGAGCGTCTTAAAGAAAACCGGTAATTTTATAGATATAACTCGTTATAATGTATGATTTTTTGGTAGAATAAAGTAACTAATGTATGTATAGGTTGATTTCGTTTATATGGAGAATTAAGTTGATAAGTTGAATGTTTATGTAGGACAAAGAAAGGAGAAGAAGAGTTGGATCGGTACCTGGAAAAGAGACATGAGGAGATTCTTGCAAGTAATCTTGAGGCTGGCTCTTATAAAAGGACCGTCTCTCTTGTCGTTGTTCATGGCTTTGGTGTTGAGATCACCAAACACCAGGTAATATATATATATATATATATATATATATGCCTATATATTGGTTATATGCTTTTGTATAGTTTGACGTTGTTTATTTTCTTATGTTGTAATATTTATCTTATCAGGCCAAAGTGTTAAGATCCGCCGATGGGGTTTATACGGTGGAAAAGAACGAAGAAATTAAGCTTTGTATCCAGTAAAGAAGAATAAAATTTAGAAGAATGATTCAATAACATTTATAACAATAATGTAGCGATGGTAAGAGAGCTTAGTTAGTAGTTAATTTATTCTGAAGTTTGAGACTTTGAATCATTAGAGTTGACGAGTAAGCAAAGTTTATATATCTGTAATTGTGATTTCAAATGAAAAAAAAAAAACGATGCCAAGGTCTCTTTTAAACGCTCCACTGTGATTAATTTGATCGTCTTTACTGAATCAGCAGATCCTAACAAAACAAAAACGCGTTTAGGCTCAATCCTTCTTTCGAGATAATTGAGAAGTTTTTGAAAATGTTATAAAAACTATGTTACCGTTTCCTGGCTTCTAATCAAACAGACAATACTGTATAATGTAATCTCAAAAAAAAAAAAAAAAAAAATTAATCCCAACACGTCAGCAAAAAAATTCTCACTGGCTTCACAAATCATATATAGAGGGCATTCTGTATTTATGTATTATTCAAAATATATATTGTAGCATCTATTCTAAGTTTAATTGTATTGGAAATATAGAGTTTGAAATGTTAATATACAATGACTCAAGTAAATTATAGTCCAAAAGAATCTATACAATACAGGGTATAGGCTCCACTGTGAAGGATGGAGATCAGCTTTTTGCATTCCCAAAAGAATAGCATTTTGCGGAGATGCCCCTAAAAGTTTAATTGATGTAGTGAGCCAACAAAAACGATGGGCCATTGGGCTTCTTGAATTTCCCATCTCAAGATATAGCCCCATCACCTATGGAGTCAAACATATGGGATTATTAATGGGCCTATACTATTCTCAAAATGCATTTTGGGTCTTTTGGTCGATTCCTTTTATGGTCTATGGGATTCTTGCCTCAAATTGTCCTCATCTATGGAGTTGGTGTCTTCCCCAAGGCACCAAATCCTTGGTTTTGGCTTTACATCGTCTTGTTCCTTGGTGCATATGCGCAAGATCTAGTGGACTTCGTACTAGAAGGAGGAAGTTATCGCGGATGGTGGAACGATCAAAGAATGTGGATGAGAAGAGGATTCACTTCATTCTTCTTTGGCTTGATAGAGTTCACTCTCAAAACCAAGCGTCTCCACGCATGGATTCAACGTCACCAGCAAAGCCAACGATGATGAAGAGCAAAGCAAGAGGTATGAGCAAGGGATCTTTGATTTTGATCCCTCTTCGACGCTTCCTTCATGTTCTTGCCATGACTCGCCATTGTGAATCTCAAGTATTTACAATGGGCAAATTTATTCTCCAACTATTGTATCTGCAGATTAAGTCATCAATTTAGTGTTGACTTCGCAAATTTAGTCATGAAAAAAATCAACATTAACGAAGAAAACAGAAACATTACCGTTGACTTTTCTCAGTTTAATTTTGTAAAATCAACATAAACTTGAGGAATAAATTTGCCAAATTAAAGTTGGGGAATTAATCTGCACAATTAGAAAAACTTGGAGAATTAAATGATCGTTTTTATTTAGATTATTATGATTATTTTTATAAATCATAATTATTTGTATAATACCATCAAATACTTTAAAATTTTTTTTCTAATAATCATAAATCATAATTGTTTGTAAAATACCATCAAATATTTTTTTTAAATTTTTTTTATTATATTATGTTTTCTGTCTAAAATTTCATTGATACTTAATCAAAATTACAAAATTAGTATACATAACTTTCAAAAAACAAATAGCTTAAGCAGATATATGTTAAAAATTTCAGGACTCTGGATAGGAATTAGAAATATAGGAATCTGATAAGAACGAAACAGATTTGGGAACCTTATCCAAATCTCTTCTCAAACTGCCAATAATTTGGCTAAAGATCTACTTCAAAACATATATTTTGGATAATTTTGAAAAAATTTAAAAAATTTTGGGAAAATAAATAGATATATATATATATATATTGAATAGGTAATTAAAGTATATGATCTCATCCTTTTCTTTTTCTATACCTGTTTGAATAAAATTTATGGTCCCGATTGAGAACTCTTTTAAACGGAAAAGGGAATGGGATGGAAAATTCAGGATGAATACGGGACGTAACATGAATTCTGTCCTGACATTTTCAAGGCTACTACCATATAATGAGAAAGATAAATGAAAATAAGTGAATTTGATGAAAATTGTTTCTTCAAATAGAGTGACCATACCAATGACTTTATGATAGGAGAATAATCACCAGTTGATAACCAAAAAATTTGTCAGTAAAGAAAAAAAATCACCGGAATTAAATACACATAATTTTAAAAATTTATTCATATAACCAGAAAAAAATATATTTTTAAAAAATAGTATTTGATGGTATTCTACAAATAATCACGATTTATGAAAATAATCATAATTTTCTAAATAAAAAATGATCATTTAATTTTTCAAGGTTTTGTAATTGTGCAGATTAATTCCCCAATTTTCAACTTGGTAAATTAATTCCTCGAGTTCATGTTGATTTTGCGAAATTGGACTGATATATAAAGTCAATGGTAACGTCTCCGTTTTTTTTTTTAAAGTTGACTTTTCTCATGCCTAAATTTACAAAGTCAACGCTAGGTTGAAGATTTAATCTACACACATGATAGTTGAGGAATAAATTTGCCGATTGCAAATATTTAAGGAATTAAATGAGCAATTATCAATTATATAAGTGAATCATTTGATAAACTGGCATTAGCATCAATAATAAATGATGCTAATATTTTTTCAGTTATAAATGTGATATAAATAAAATTTCAACTAAAAAACTATTTGTCCCACATTGCTAAGAATGATAAAGAGTACTAGTTTCTTCCTCTATAAAAGAAATTCATCAACACTAAACTTTTTTATATTAAATCATATGTATGTATTTACATATATTTCTTAGAATAATAAATATGAAATTATTAGTTATCTTAAATTTATAATATTATAAAAATTAACACAAAATATTAAAACACCATGGATTTTAATATCTCTGAATTTTAATATATAGTATCATTTATTATATATGATAGTAAATATTAATATCATTTATTTTAAGTGATGTAAATATTAATATTATTTATTTTAACTGATTCAGATAATAATATCACTTATTGCAAATAATATATATTTATATCAATTATTATAAGTGATGAAAATAGTTACGTCATTAATAATATTGATACAAATGATTAGCATCACCACTTCGAGAATCATTTAATTAAATGATGTAACTGAATTTGCATCAATCAAAAAATGATATTAACAAATAAAATAAATGACACAACACACATGATTTATTGTAGTGCTATTTTAAGATATTTGAAATATTTATATATTTGTATCTACTTTAAGATATTTCAAAATTATTTGTTTACTCACTTACATATGAGACGATAAAACAAATTTATTTGCCTATTTCAAATTTTCAGTCTATTTCTAGTCTATTTAGTCGTTTACATATTAGTCGTTCACAAAAAGCCAGCTAATAAAGAAAACATATAATAATATTTCGTAAACGATAACATAATACTTTATATACAACAATACGTAATAAAATTTCGATAAACTATATAAGTATGTAATTTAATTCATTAACCAAACAACAACCAAAATAACCACTCAACCAAAAAACATCAATCAAAACCTCAAACATTTCAGATATTATCTCGAAGTATTCGATTGTTATCGTTCGAAGAGATCACAAACGTTATTTTAAAGTACTTTATAGTGACGAGCAAATTTGTGAGTTAATTTTCATCATGATCCTTCTCTTCAAGTGGAAAGACAAT